GAAACGCCCCAGGCCAGCGCATCCTCTCCCAGATGACCGCCTGAGTCCAGCCCCTCCCGGGAGAGCACAGGCCACCAACAGATCTTAAGGCCCCAGGATGGCTCTGGGGCTGAGATGTGTAAAGACCCTGCACACGCTAAGCCACTCCTGTCCATCTAAGTCTCTTCTACTCCACGAAGGAGCACGAACCAGCTCCAGGAGGCGTGTGAGTGCCCTTAGCGAGAAGGCAGATGCTCCTGGCTGCTTCCCCAGCTGCTCCCTCACCCTTCTCCCCGGGGGTTTCGTGTCCGCTGTTTGGAGGAGGCTGCCTTCCAGGCACACCTGTCCCCGGGGCATGGGGGCAGCGGGGCAGCTCACCCACTGTAACTGCCGCCCTCTCTCGAGTGGGCGCCTTACAGGAGGACTCAGCAGATAGGATAGAGGTAGAGCTCAGAGGCTCAGGAAAAAGAAACTTCGATAAAGAGATCAGACATCTCACCCCGAAGCTTCTCCTCTTTCCTCGATTCATTCCCTGCTGTACGGTGAAGTGTCGGGAAGAAATATTTATCTCTGCCCTTGACGCCCAGGAACACCACTCTCGTTAACTCCCCAGGTTTATTCTTTCAGAAGATTCAAATTCAGATAATCCAGTTTCTATGTGGTCAAAATTACCTGGGGCAAGTGTCCAAGGAAAAACCCCCCACCCTGGTCTCCAATCAACTCCCACACCATAGAAGGAGACCTGCTTTAAAAATGAAGCCCACTTTCTTTATTTTGGTAGCTGATTCTGTAGATGTTTGTCTGGCAGCTGAGAAAGCAGTTCTTCAAAGTAGTGGTTCTTCACTAGGCGAGTTCATTCCCAAGAGGGTATTTAGTAAAATCCATAACCTTTTTTGTTGAACTTGGGGCTGGGATGCTACTGGGGTCTAGTAGGTTAGAGGTGTAGCTAATATCCTACAGCGCACAGGAAAAAAAAAGAAGAAGGATTTTCCCCAAAAGGATTTCTGACCCAAAATGTCCATAGTGACAAAGTTGAGAAATCTGGCTTTCAAGTTCTTGATGAGTTTACTGTATATAATCCCTGTTATTCATTCGACAAACTACTACTTGGAACCTAGTATAATCTTTTTCTTATGAATGTCTTTGTTTTTTATTTAATTTATTTTGTTTTTTGGCCATGCCAAGTGGCATGTGGGATCTTAGTGCCCTGACTAGGAATTGAACCCGTGCACCCAGCAATGGAAGCAAGAAGCCTTAGCCACTGGACCAGCAGAGGAGTCCCACATAGTATAGTCTCAGCACGTGATGCCAGGCTCTGAGGCTGGGCAGCTTGCCTTGAAGCATCTAGTAGAGGAGTGGCAGAGGTTTACAAGAAAATAAAAAATATTTTTTACAGAGCATGCTAAGTGCCCGAGTAAAAATATTAGTCAATAGGGGAAAGGCTGTAAGTGTGTGAGGGTGGGCTTAGGGGACAAGGAACAGATTTTATTTTCCCTGAAACAACTGCAAACTGCATATTCACTCTAAAGTATAAGATTCATCCTCAAAAAATAAATAAATAAATAAATAAAAAATCACTCTCAAATATAAAATTGAAATAACTGCTAGGAAATATTACCAAAGTCCTAATCATTTTTTAAGCAGTCTATCTTTCTGTTTTATAGTCACATCCTCAGAGAGAAGCAACCCACTGCTTTCTTTGTGACTTTGTTCCTTATTAAGATGATTTTCTTCACAATAATATTTTTCTAGTACCAGGGAGATGTTTTATTTCCTTCTTCTGGCCGCACTTTATTCTCTCCAGCTATGCCTTTAAAATATTGATCAACACAGTGTGGCTCTGTGCCTGATAATTAGCTAATCGACACATGCTTATCCCCTTTTATCTTTCCTCAAATAACAACTTATATTTGTTCACAATCTTGAGGATGCACTTTCCAAGCCTCTGTTGGTTGGCCTGAGGGTCACATATGTAGCAGGAAACATTGTCTCCTTAAGCCCTGCTCGCATATTCCAAACTAAAATAAATGCCAGGAGGGCACAAAGATGCTGATGAACAAGTAAAATGGGCATCAGAGAAAATGGCTTATCCCTCCAGGAAATTAGTCACCAGATCATAGGAGTTTCATCAAACAAAAGTGCACTTAGATTAGATTCGCAGGGCTGAATATCATAGTGATCATTTCCACGGCAGATACCAGACAATTATGCATCTTCCAGGTCAGCAGTGTGGATGATTAAACTGTCTGGAATGCTCCCACCAACAAATGTGAGCTCATAGCTAAGCTGAAATTGAAACCAGTTATGAAACAGAACTGCCAGATGCCGCAGGCCTGCACACAGAATACCGCAGGTGATCTCACTAATCAGATCATTAACAGCCACCTTCACGGCTCTGCTTTGTGCCTGCCTCTGTGCAACACTGGGCGGCAACTTTTTATTTGTTGGTGTTTAAGTCTGAGTTTGAATCCTGCCTCTGCCATTTTCTAGGTCTTAAACCTGGTTAAGTCAACACCGCCTCTCTGAGTCTTTATTTTCCCATCTGTGAAATGGGGATGACCAGGCCTGTCTCTCAAGATTGTCATTTATTCCATCAGTCCAGGTCCAGTCAGAAATTCAGAAACCCCATCAGTTATTTCAACAGAAAATTTAATACAGGGTATTGGTTAAGCAGTTGTTCAGTTCAGTCGCTTTGTAGTGTCTGATTCTTTGCTACCCCATGGACTGCAGCACGCCAGGCCTCCCTGTCCATCACCAACTCCCGGAGTTTACCCAAACTCATGTCCATTGAGTTGGTGATGCCATCCAGCCATCTCATCCTCTCTCATCCCCTTCTCCTCCTGCCCTCAATCTTTCCCAGCATCAGGGTCTTTTCCAATGAGTCAGCTCTTCGCATCAAGTGGCCAAAGTATTGGAGTTTCAGCTTTAGCATCGGTCCTCTCAGTGATTATTTAGGACTGATTTCCTTTAGGATGGACTGGTTGGATCTCCTTGCAGTCCAAGGGACTCTCAAGAGTCTTCTCCAACACCACAGTTCAAAAGCATCAATTCTTCGGTGCTCAGCTTTTTTACAGTCCAACTCTCACAAGCAGTTGTTAGAGAACCAGAAAAGCAAAAACAAACAAACAAAAAAAGCCAATGAGGACACAGCTGCCGCCCAAGGGCTGTGAGCAGAGGACAGAGGTGAAGGTTGTTAGAATGTGTGAGTTTGATGGCAGAGCCCTTGCAGGGCTGAGGTGCAGGCAGCCGGAGAGGAGATGAGTTGCCGTCACCACAGAAGCTTTGGGGCTGGCAGAGCTGAGCCTCAGCTGATTCCAGGAAGGTACAAAAGAGAGCTGGACACTGGAACCAGCAGCCACTGCCGGCGACAGGCCTTCAGCAGGGGACACGCTCCTGCATCAGCAGGAGTGTAAGAAGTCCTTCTCCCGCTCAGCCCGTCTCTTTCTGGTGCATCTCTGGCAGGTGGCAAAGTAGAAATGTGAATGCAAAGAGCCCCCAGCTTCACACAGCAGAGCCCTGAAGGCTAATTTGAAGCTGAGAGAAAATAGCTTAATACATAACCTATTCATCCACACATTATGCACATTTATGGAGTGCTTACTTCATGTTTGACCTCAAGGCTCTGCGATAGGCGCAGGGGAGTCTGGAGAATTAAGTGGAAACCCCATGAAGTGCATGGCTTGCAACTCATATAACGCAGACCCTTACTTAAAATCAGCTGTCTTCTCTGGGACCCAGAAGGAAACATAAGGAAAAAGGAAATTAAAAACGAAACAACACGAATGAAACAAAACTCTGGCTCTTGCCTTTCGGGAGGTCTGCGTTTAGGTTAATTATTGTGAGGCAAGTCAAACGTCAAGGCACAAAGTCACACATGCTCGTAGGCCTTACAGTACTTCAGACACAGCTGTTTGAAGAGCTCAGAGAAGCAGAAAAATATGTGGGGGACATCTGGAGGAGGGCGTGGCAACCCGCTCCAGGATTCTTGCCTGGAGAATCCTATGGGCAGAAGAGCCAGGTGGGCTACGGTCCATGGGGTCACATAGAGTCAGACACCACTGAAGCGACTTAGCACAGCACAGGGAAACCTTCGCTCAAAAAATGTGGGAATGAGAGACTTTAGTTTGTAGACGACGGCCTGAACCGGTAAGACCCGGGGACTCAGGAGAAAGCGCCCGGAACTTGCTGGAAAACTTGCTGGGTGGCGCTGACGTTGCTGCCAAGATCTTGGGGAATGGAGCGTGGACTCTGATGTGGGAAATGGAACTTGGGGCCAGCAGAGCATTTCTTGACTCTCTCTAAGGCATAGACGAGCCACTGGGACGTTCGGAATAAGCAGAAATTATACGTAAAAAATATTGGTTTTGTAGCTTTTCTATTTGACACAATATCTTTCAGATAGTGGGATATTTGGAAACAATTGCTGTGTTGAATGGGATGGGGTAGGATGGAGTGATAAAGGCAGGTCTTAACTTTGAAAAGTTGCACCTACTTTCCCTTGTTTGAAATATAGTACAAAATACTTTGTGAAATATTTGAGGCAATCAATTTTAAGGACAAAAGTTCAGGAAATAAAAGCAAACAATAATCGGAGTTTTAACAAGTAAAGATAGAACCCATCCAGGACTCTGCTGGTGGCCCAGTGGTTAAGATTCTGTGCTTCCACCACAGGGGCCGCGAGTTTGAGCCCTGGTTGGGGAACTAAGATCTCATGTGCTGAGTGACGCGGCCAAAAAGTTAGAAAAAAAAAAGAAAAGATGAAACCCACCCATCAGGACCTTGTGCTCATTTCTCAGCCTGAGACCTGCTGTCAGAGTGAACACGGCGACGGGTTTGCAGAGACGGGGAGGGGTGGTTGAAAGCATCATGGACTTCAGCAAGGAGTGTGCTGGGCAGTGTGCTGCCAAACCTGTTTCAATGACTCATGTGGAAAAAAGGCACAGAATGGGTGTGAGTCTTGAGTGTGAGCTTGCAGACCGTGTGGTGTCCTCACATCTACCCCGTTCTTTTCTTCCTGGCAGACCCATTGCAAGATTTTGGCTTTTCTGTCGACCAGTGTTCCAGACAATTAAAACCAAATCTCAACATTAGATTTGGAATGGTTCTGAGTAAGTAAACATTATTGTCATAATATAAAACATGACACAACCTTTTCGTGTCCCAGACACCCAGTTATTCGTATTTACTGTAGTGGCTGAGCCGCTGCATCCCATCACTCTCTGGAATTAACTATTTTCATTTCCATTTCTCTCTCTGGGTAATATCCAGATAGAGCAGAACTCTCATTTAAAGCTGTTCTTTTGTGAGAAGAGACCCTACACACTCATTTGGATGCTATAAACACCTGGAATCAGTATATCCAGCGAAAAAAAAAAAGAGAAAATATTTTGAGCCTAAGTATCAATGTTTGCTCAAAAGAAGGCTTTTTTGCTTAGTTGTCTCAGCCACAAACAAGTCTGGTACCAGCAGCATGGTTTATCTTTGCATTATTTCATTCCACAAATAGCTCGTCTAAGCTCTTAAACCTGGACTCGGGCAGAGACACAGGACGTCTTCTCTGTGCACTGAGCCGACGAGCCAGAAGGCTCTCAGGCTGTTTGCTTCTATTTCTGCGTGGCCGTGCCGTCACCGTTGGTCACAGCATTGCTACAGCCGCTAGACTCTCTCCTTCCTCACAGTTTCCGCAAAACCAGAGCAGAGGGTTCAATGAACTGAGCACGTGGATTCTTTCCAGAGAAATGGAGGGAACATTCCCGGATGCCAAGACCTCTCAGGCATCTCAGTATTTCCAGACCTTGCACAGTGCCTCGGCTCCATACCAACAGCTCCAGGAATGCTGTAGGGAGAAACAGGACTAGAAGGAAGGGAATGAGTGGAATCTAAACAGGGAGGAAAGGAGAAAAAGGCAGAGAGTCGGGAGCCAGCCGTGCAGAGTGGCCAGAAGCTTTCTGTGTGATAATGGGCATCAGCGGTGGGGGTTGCAGGATGGACCGCAGCCCGCCGCTCTCGGGGGAGGCACCTGGGACCACATAGCTGAGAATCCGTAGGAGGCAGGTCCCCAGGGTCCATGGCATCAGGGTAGGGGCGCAGGTCAGCTAGCTGCTCTAGGCAGGTGAAGTCCATGAAAGGGCTCTTTCATCCACAGACTTGTCCCAGTCGCATTGCCCAAATGCTGTTTTACCAAAACAGAAAGCTGTTCGCCATATAGCGCAGATTTCTAGCGATGAAAGCTCCTTCAGCTCAGGCTTTTATGACTTCTGCACACTCTGATGCTCAGCGAAACCCACACTAACAGGAAAGCTGGCTTCCCCTTTGCCCCCAGGGGAGGACATCGAGCAGCTGTTTCTGGACATCGCGCTCTTCAGTAAAGGATTGTCCATCCTGAATTTCTCCTACCCCATCTGTGAAGTGGATCTACCCAAGTTTTCTTTCTGTGGAAGAAGGAAAGGAGGTAGGTGTTTGGCCGGCTGATGGCCGGCTGGGGCCGAGAGAGAGATGGACAGGAGCTTGCAGCCAAGTTCATGATATCCAGACCGGCGTCTAGGGCGCCCCCTCCCCTGCAGATAAGGTTAACCTCATGTATCATCACATGTTGTATAAAAATGACCACACAGCCCATCCCACAGGACATGCCTTACAGGGTGAGTGTGGACATCAAATGAAATGTGTTTATCAGGTGTTTGCAAAGAGAAAATTGTTGTTAAGTGTTAGCAGTGGCACCTTGTGAAAAATAACCAGTGTGATAAAATACATGAAAACATTAGATATGGACTTAATTTTAAAGGCATTGCAACCTTGGAGTTAAGATAAACATGACCCTGACGCCTTTCGCAAGCTGATGAGTCCTTTAGTCAAAGAAATAATGGCTCCCTGGTTCATCTTTTGTGTCAGTCCGATCTTACCTGCGTTAAGTGTTTGTCCAAAGCGGGGAGTACATCATAATTAGATGAATTTCAATACATAACAGAGAAGATCCCCTGAGAGCTATTTTTCATGTCTGACATGACATCGCCCAGGAGGCAGCTGTCATTCCTAACAGCAGCTGGAATTGTAGGGCTTCCGCGACAAAGGTCACTGACCTCACACCGGCAAGGAAGACAAAGCAGGAAGCTTAGTGGGCGCTCGGGCTAGGCGCCTCCCTGCCCTCCCTTTCACAAAAGTGGGCATTTCCTGTCTGTCCAGGTTCACGCTGAGCACGTGAGCCTGGCCATGCCCCGAGATTACTGATTGCAAAGGCCTCTCAGTCTCACTGTCTCTAGCTGTTTAAAGTCAGTCCTGACAGCTCTATCGAGGTCAGCAATTCACATTTCATCAGCCAGAGTTCCGCTGCCTCACCATCTCTAAGTGCTGCTTTCTGTGGGTCTAAGAAACAAAGGAAATTTGGAAATTACCTAGATTTGGAAAAAATGCCCCAAACACTTTCTGCAAAATGCTTTATACCTCACACAGCTGTAGCAGAAAACAAGACAAAACGCCTTCCAGGCAAAGGCCCCCTTCAAGAGTCCCACTGGTAATCTGTGCCGAGGACCGGACAGCCTCTGTCAACACAGCCGCAGCCCCACCTGGGGCCTCACTTTTAACTGTCCTGCATTCACAGTACATGTTAGTAACAGATGCAGTCCCAGGAACCGAGCCACTGATTTCTGCTCTAAAAGAAGGGGAGCAAGTGGCTGTGTCTGAGGCCTCACTTTTAAAATGCATCTTCTCTGGGGTAGCGTCCCCTACCTGTTTGCACATCCGTGATTTCTGGGCCATTGTGGACCTCCTTAGGGGCCCTGTGGTGTAATGGTTAGCACTCTGGACTTTGAATCCAGCGGTCTAAGTACAGATCTCAGCGGGACCTACTTATCTTTGGGCTGCCCAGGTGGCTGAGCCGTAAAGATGCAGGAGACCCGGGAGATGCAGATGCGGTCTCCAGGTCGGGAAGGTCCCCTGGAGGAGGGCATGGCAGCCCACTCCAGTCTTCTTGCCTGGGAAATCCCATGGACAGAGGAGCCTGGCGGGCTACAGTCCGTGGGGTCGCAAAGGGTCAGACACGACTGAGCAACTACACAACAGCAAGACTTCTGTGTCTCCAAGTTGCTTCGCTTTTTCAGGCTTTCGGTCCTGCGGGTCCCTGGGCTTTTGTGTTCAGTCTCTTCCAACACAGGGTTGGAAGCCAGGCTTACACAGAACCAGACCTTCGCTTCCCTCATGGCTGTGTGACTTCAGGCAGAATTACTCAGAGTGTCTGAGCCTCAGTTTCCACATCTCCACACAGACCTCATGGGATTCTTAGTAAGGATAAATTGGACAATTATACAAAGTCCTCAGGACAGAGTCTGGCACACAGGACTCAGTAAGTGATAAATGGCAGCAACTGCCCGCAGGTGATGAGGGATTTCTCGAGCAAGGGCTCTGAGGCCCTGAAGTCATCAATCTCAGAGTGGAAGTCTGCATTTTAACAAGACCTGGAGAGGCGGCAGAGCCTCGGGGGCTTAGAAGGTTAAGACCCTTTTTCCTCGGAGGCGGCGGGAACCTGACTTGGGTCCAGGTTGGATATCCTCTTCTGGCTGAGAGAGCAGAGCCCCGGCAGCCCGCTTCCACCTCTGCAGAGAGACCCCCGCCTGCAGTTCTCACGAAACTGGAATTTGGAAGCAGCAGCAACTCAGCCATCAGCCTTTCTTCTCTTCATGTTTTATTCTTTGTCTGCATACTTCAAGCAGCTGTGGGTTTCCTACTTGCAGTGACTGGGCAGCTGCCGCTGCTGCAAGTTCATAAAGAATCAACAAAAAGAGTGGTTTATTACTACATTGGCAGAAAACACCCACCCTTGATCTACAAAAAAAATAGAAACAATGATCACCTTAGACTTTTTTTTTTAAGCTGAGAGAAGGAAAGGAAGAAGAAAAAAAAAGATAGACAAAAAAGAAAAAAAGAAGGGAAGGAAGGAAGGAAGAGAAAGACATATTGCCTGTTAAGGAATACTGTAGCCTTGGGAGCTTCCCTCCATCCTCAAAATTAAGCCTCTTGAAAATGAGCCAAGAATATGTTGACCTTGTCCTTTGAAATCCATCAGTTCTTTTTGTTGAGCCCAGAATATTGAGATTAATAGTGACATAGGACCTAGGTCTAGATAGTCAAAGCTATGGTTTTCCCAGTAGTTACGTACGAATGTGAGAGTTGGACCATAAAGAATCTGAGCATCAAAGAACTGATGCTTTCAAACTGTGGTGTTGGAGGAGACTCTTGAGAGTCCCTTGAACTGCAAGGAGAGCAAACCAGTCCATCCTAAAGGAGATCAGTCCTGGGTGTTCATTGGAAGGACTGATGCTAAAGCTCAAATACTTTGGCCACCTGATGCAAAGAACCTACTCCTTGGGAAAGACCCCGATGCGGGGAAAGACTGAAGGCGGGAGGAAAAGGGGACGGCAGAGGATGGGATGGTTGGATGGCATCACTGACTCAGTGAACACGAACTTGAGTCAACTCTGGGAGACCGTGAAGGGCAGGGAAGCCAGGCGTGCTGCAGTCCATGGGGTGGCAGAGAGTCAAACATGACTTAGCAACGGAACAGCAACAAAGGACCACAGTGTTTTTAATTCTCTAAGGTAATACCGGATCCTTTACACATTCTCAGCCTGCTGCGGAGTTTCATTAAATCTGATTGAAGTGAAGTGAAGTCACTCAGTCGTGTCTGACTCTTTGCGACCCCACGGACTGTGCCCCGCCAGGCTCCTCTGTCCATGGGATTCTCCAGGCAAGAACACTGGAGTGGGTTGCCATTTCCTTCTCCAGGGGATCTTCCCAACCCAGGGAGTGAACCCGGGTCTCTGGCATTGCAGGCAGATGCTTTACCGTCTGAGCCACCAGGGGAGCCAGTACTCATAATTCTGTGTAATCATCGTTTAGGAAGCTATTTGAGAAGGTGGACTGGCAGCTCTCCTGTCCCACCCCAAAACTTGGACCCCGTGGGTTGCTGGTATTTGCATTTTAACAAACATCCTGAGAGCTCTGGTGTGCACGAACACCCGACCCCCCAGGCTGAGGAGGACTGCCCTCTGTGATGTCTGTTCCATCACTTCCAGTCACGTCGCCCTTCCCTGTGGCTGTCCCGGGTTTCTGAAGGTTGTCTCAGTTTCTCCTCTTTCTTCCCATCGCCATCCTCTTCGCTTCTCCTTCTGGCAATGCAATCAGCCCACCGATTCACAAGCTGTATTTTGAGATTTATATTAAGTGTTTATCCACAGAAATCCAAAAACAGATTGGTAAGGAAAAAAAAATTAAATCCTCCTTCCCTTCTTGCTGCCAGAAGTTACAGCTCTTACAGAGAAAACCTGGGTGACAAAGACACACAGTTCTTGTAGGAGGAATGAAGTTGGAGAAAATCATTTCACCTCCTGGGCCATCCATGGCTCCGTTGTTGGCCCTGACCAGTCCAAGAGCCACTGGTCACGTGTGGCTCCTCATAATCAGAAATGGGGCCCATCCAAGTGAGATGAGCTCTGAGTGCAAAGTTTGCACTGAATTTTGAAGACTTTGTACAAAGCATAGTATGAAAAAAGAATTTAAAAATCTCATTGATACTTTCTATGTTGGTAATATATTGAAATTATAGTCTTTTTAAAAAATTTGTTGAAAACATCTTTCAAGTGGAGATGATTCACATAACTTCAAGATAAAATTATTAATGGCATATTTTAATTCATGCATGTTTTACTTTCAATATGATCATAAAGGTTGCCATTTTTGAAAAAGGATTTTGAAAAGCTTGATCAGTTTTTTCAAGTTTAACTTAACTTTGATATGCATGTCATTGCCTTATAGGCATCATCATTTTTTTTTCCCTTTAATTGTTAACTGGTCTCACTCTGCCAGATAAATGTTCATTGTCAATGGCTTTAAGTTCTTTAACATTTTCTTTGCCTTTCAGTTCAGTTCAGTTCAGTCGCTCAGTCAAGTCAGACTCTTTGCCACCCCATGAATCGCAGCGCGCCAGGCCTCCCTGTCCATCACCAACTCCCAGAGTTTAGTCAAACCCATGTCCATCGAGTCGGTGATGCCATCCAGCCATCTCATCCTCTGTCGTCCCCTTCTCCACCTGCCCCCAGTCCCTCCCAGCATCAGGGTCTTTTCCAATGAGTCAACTCTTCGCATGAGGTGGCCAAAGTACTAGAGTTTCAGCTTCAGCATCAGTCCTTCCAATGAACACCCAGGACTGATCTCCTTTAGGATGGACTGGTTGGATCTCCTTGCAGGGAGCTAGATTTTTTTTTAAAAATTAAATTCAAAATTTGCATTTTGTATGCAATGTATTAATTACATTTTCATTGCAAAAAAAAAATGTTTTAGTTGAAGTCTAGTTGCTTTACGATTCTGTTAGTCTCAGCTGCACAGCGACGTGAATCAGCCACACAGACACAGTTACGCCTCTTTTTCGGGTTTTCTTCCCACTTAAGCCACCACAGGATACCGAGCAGAGCTGCCTGTGCTATACTGCAAGTTCTCATTCGTCATCTATTTTATGCATAATATCCACAGTGTGCATATGTCATGCCGGGCCCTCCGTTCACTATCCCACCCCCTTTTCCTTCCTTGGTGTCCATGCGTTTGTTCTCTATGTCTGTGTCTTTATTTCTGCTTTGCAAATAGGCTCATTGAAATTATAATGATTTTAATATTTGGGTTAATATACATGTGTTGTTAAATTAATTCCACTTGTTTATTTTTCCTTTTTAAAAATAATGCAAATTACAGACATGGCTCACATGATATTTCCATTAGATAGTGCTGACCTAAAACCCCAGTGTCCAGTATGATAGCCGCTCGTCACGGGGGGCTATTGAAATCAGTTATGCTTAAATTAAATTATACACTTAGCCACACTAGCCACCTTTCAGGTTCTCAGTGGCCACGTGTGGACAGCAGCTGCTTTACTTAATGATGCAGACACAGGATAGTCGCACCTTTGTGGAAAGCTGTACTGAGCATCACTGACCTGGTAGGTTCCATGTGGCCCTACGTTTGTCTTAACCACCTGTCCTGAGTTTCGTTGGAACGTGTGTTGGAAACTTCACTCTCTAGCCCAGGTACCTTCTCTTTTGTTGAAATCCTAGAGTACGCGGATGTCACAGTTCCAAAGACGTCTTTGCTGGGAGCCCAAGAATCTGCTTGCAATGCAGGAGGCCTGGGTTTGACCGCTGGGTTGGGAAGATCCCCTGGAGAAGGGAAAGGCTACCCACTCCAGTATTCTGGCCTGGAGAATTCCAAGGACTGTATAGTCCATGGGGTCGCAAAGAGTCGGACACGACTGAGCGACTTTCACTTCACTTCAAGTGTATGTAAGCCACCACTCTTGGCCGTTCTGCGGTCAACCACCTAGCATCTCCCCTCTGAACCCAAGGTCAGTGTATCAGCGCCCTGCTGCTGCTGCGACCCTAGTGACCTGCCACACAAAGATGCTCTCTTACGATTCCGGACACCAGAAGCCTGAAAGCAGAGTCAGGAGGGCTGTGTTCCTTCTGGAGAATTCAGAGGATGGATAAAGATCTGTTTCCTTGAGGTTTTTAGTTTTTGGAGGCTGCTGGCGTTCCTTGGCTTGTAGCTACTTCCCTCCTCTCTGCTTCCATCCTCACACCCCCTTCTTCTTCCAATCTTCTCCAGCTTGTGGTTACACTGGGCTCACCCAGACAATCCAAGATAATCTCCCCATCTCAAAATCCTGAACCTGATTGCAATTGCAAAATCCATTTTGCCTTGTAAGGTATCTATGGGTTCTAGAAATCAGGACTTGGACATCTTGTAGGAGAAGGGAGTGGGCATTAGTAGCTGGTACAGCATCCAAATGGAGAACCAGCACAGCTTGTCTGACCTCCGCATACCCTGACGTTGTGACGAGGCCAGGTACTTATGCCTCATCAGAGGAAAACTCAAACTCTGTATGTTTCCAATGAAAAGGCCCTCCAAGAAGTTCTGAGAACTTCACGGGTGATACAGCTGCTGGTGTAGCTGGGGCAAGATGTGAGTGTCTCTGTTAAGGGATCCTACCGCTGCTCAGAAAAGGTTTGCCTTCTTGGACTGTTCTTGTTGCCCTTTCCCAGACCCCCAAAAGCTCCCACCAGCCAAGTCCCCTGCCCAGAGGAGAAACTATCTGGCTAAAAGTGGGGGACATAACCCATGTGTCTGTCGGAATCATTCTTGGCAGAGAAAGAGGCTAAGATTGTCCACGAGTCCTTATAGGAGTTTGTCGTTGAGAGGAAGCCAATGTGATATTAGGGCAGAAAGTCGAGGGTTAACAAGCACATCTCTAAATGCCTGGAGAGGGGGCGTGGCAGGACCCTGAGTGAGTAAGCCTTAGAAGGTTGCTCATTTCATAGTTTTATAAATGCCCCATTCCAAGTGCACAATGAATATGGCCAAGTTTAAATAACATTAGATTACTCTCTTAGTGAAAGGGCGGCCGTCTGGTCCACGACTCTTTGGGAGCTTTTATTTCCACATTTTAAAATCCATTTCCTCTCTTAAAAGATACTGTGTGCCAATCACACAAATATCTGGGTCCCCCAAAAAAGTCGATTGGCAGAAATGACTTCAAGTATTAAGAAGCAAGAGGGTGAAAATTTCAATCCACTCCATATTAAAAACTGATCAGGATTCCCAAAGTAGGAAAGTAAGAAGTGGGTACAGATATAACGCAGCTCTTTTTATAGCCCTGGAGTGTGAGGATGTTAATTAAAGGAATCTCAGAACCCGAGATGATTTGGAAAAGGAAGGAGCAAGAATTTAATTTTAGGTGTTGTTTCATCAGGTTAAAAAAAAAAAAGTTTTGCGAGTTACTTGCAGCAATTCTCAGGAACTTCATGGGCCCACAGAAAAGCTCCAGGTGAAACTGTAAAGTGAAGACCAAGTTCATGGCAATCTCTCATCCAGCAAAGGTCCCTCATAGTGAAGCCCAAATCAGCAGATCTCGGAGCATTAAATGAGCGTAACAAAGTGCTAAATAGCATTTGTTTGGTATGCTTCAAAAAACAGCACTCGTCCATTTTTTAAAACGGAAGTAAAAAAAGAAGACACCAGTAGAACTTAGCAGTTGTGCACACTGGCTCAGGAAGAAGGTTCCCAAACCCAGCCTTGGTGTGTTTCTCCGCGTCCCCCACGGGCACCTTCCCGTCCCTCTCCCTCACACTGGGTGAGTAAGGTGAGTAACTGGACGGGGAAGACCTGCTGGTTCTGCCCTGCCCGGGGCCCCGTCCTCCACGAGCTCACACACGAGCTCCTAGTCCTCTCTGCGGCCAGTAGGAGAGGCGTTCCTGCTTCTGTGTTGCAGGTGCAGGTGCTGACTCACAGGGTAGTTAGGCAACTCGTCCACCAACACTCAGTGGGGAGGAGAGCTGGGTCCTGCCTCCAGGGCCCAGACGTTGGCACCGTGTCGCCTTAGAACACCAAACAGAATCATGAGGTCGGTATACAACGCGTCCAAGGGAATCCAAGCCGAGTCCAGCCGCACCTGATGGGGAGGGGCGCAGTCCCGGCTGTGCTGGGGCTCTGCTCGTCAGCTGCGTCCGTTCCCTGACGGACTTTAAGTGGTTCGTGGTCCTAGCAGTCATGGTTCTTGAGCCGCAGGCAGCAGAAACCCACTCCTGCCAACAGCAGCCAAGGGATCGTCTTGAAAGGCTACCAAGAAGTCACAGAATCAGCGAGAAGCCTCGGGGCGATCTTGTCATCCAAACATCCCATACCAACCATTGTCTCAAACACAGCATCTCTGTTCGTACCTTTAGCAAAGCTTTCCAAATGTCGTTATTAGTGCTTTATACGGATTAACTCTCTTCATTCCTCACAACTCTGTTGTTGTCCTTACTATACCCGCCTTAAAAACGAGGGCGCTGAGCCCAGAGGGATCGGAACTGTCCAGGGCCGATCAGTTACGGGAAGTTGTCTTAGGATTTAACCTTGAGCATCCCAGGGCCAGCCTAGCCTCTGCACCCTCATTCTGCCTGGCTCTCTCGTGACCTGCGTGTCTCCTGCTACTTGCTACGGCCTGGATTCTGTCTCACTTAGGGATTTATGTACCACAGTCAGAGACCTTTTCCTTCCATCACTGGCTCCCCAGGGCACAGTAAGCACAGATAATAGAGCAAGTCAATTTTGCTTTGGATGATTGAATGACGTGATGTGCGTTTTCTCTGTTTTTTCAGAGCAGATTTATTATGCCGGCCCTATCAATAATCCTGGATTTGAAATTCCCAAGGTAAGGGTTTGGTTTGCTGTTTTCTTTTGTTCCTTAATTATTGTATCGAGCAGTTTCTTAAAGGAGGAGGTGGGTGGGGGAGAGACAGCAGAGGAGGAGGAGAGGGAATTAAATGAAAATCTTCAAGTTTTTGCATAGCCCACCACGAGAAGACCCTTTCTGGGTGAAGCCGTTACTTCATCGTGGGCACTTGCTAATTAAAGCTTGGCGCTCGGGTTTTGGCGCTTTGGCATTTAACATTTTTGTCCTGTGGGACCCTGGGGCACCCCTTGTAGAGACAGTGCCCATAGAGAGCAGCTCTGGGACCCTGTCCTGCTGGAGGACTCTGTCCAGGGGCCTCCGCGTGGCCAGAGCTGTTAGAGGTGAGGGAGGCAGCCCCAGGCGGGCTGGCCGTTCAGAGGAGGCAACAGAGACAGCCCAGAACGCACTAAGCTCCCCAGTTACCGTGCTTGCTCAGTGCTTACAAGCTCCCACCCCATAAATAAAATGCCCACATCTTGCGCCTTCACTGTTTTTCCAACAATTCCATTTTATTTAAAATACCATTACTTTATGAAACAGCTGAATTCCAGCAGCTTGGACATAGTGATCCAAGCTCAATAGCTACTCCTAAGAGCATCCTTTGGAAAAACATCACGAGAATCACAGAAATGTCGCCAGTCTCATTTTTTGGTTTTCAATTTCATCCTTTTCATCTTCCAAAGCCTGAGTATGACTCTAGGAGAGGACCTCCTTCTCCATAAAGAATCTCTTAAACTCGTTTCATCCCCTGGGCATGTTCCCTTTCTGTCCCAGCCTCTGGGTTCTTCTGCTTCAAGCCGCCAAGTCTTCAGACCACCTTGGTCTTTCTCCAGCGATGCTCTGGCAGCTGGGGGCAGGTCCAGCTTTCCAGAGTCTTCTCCTCAGGCCTTTCAGGGTAACATGGAAGTTGTGCAAACTCTCTTCCCTTCTAGGATGTGAGACCAAATTCCTCCCACAAAGTTTTTGCTTTAAATCTTTGCTATTTGAATTCTTTTTCTTTCTCCATTTTTCTGTGGATCCTCCCCCATGCACCCCAAATCCATCAACTCGAAATTTGCAAGCAATTAAATTTTGTGTTGCATTATTGACTTTAAAAAAAAGCAGTTACTCTTAACAACTGCAATAAATAGAGAGAAAGAACTTAAAAGTCATAGGATCGCTTTGAAAGAAATGAAGCCCAGATGTAACGAGGTTTATTGCATCCACGTAGGATACGTGGGTGAATGTGTTACCTGTATCCATGGCCCACTAACGATGCTCCTTGAGATGTTGTCCACTGTGAGGCTAAGACAGTGGTCAGGTTGCCTGTCCCCGCCTGCCTGTTCAAGCATCCTCAGGAGCCCTCTGCCCGGCCCTCCTACCTCTTTAAGACTTTCTGGGACCATGGAGCAGGAACCTGGCCAATCCTGACCCCCCAAGCCAGGCCTGCAGGGGAGAGAACCAGAGCGGACACGTGTGAACCATCACGTGAGCTGCACAGGCAGCTGGAGGCCTTAATCCTGACCTGGGCTCCTCTGCTGGCCCGAGACCAGCCCGGCCAGCCCAGGCTCCCCTGGCCGGCCGCCAGCCTGCAGGCCGCAGAAACGCTGCTTCCTAACATGGGACAGAAATGGTGCACAGACTTTTGGTTTCAGAAGACCTTCCCGTCCTCCCATCAAACCCCCAGAGGTGGGCTCTGTGCTAATTCCACTCCTGCTTAACTGGAAACTTCCCACTCAGCCGCCAGTCTTGTGTGTCGGTATTATTTTCTTTTTCTCACAACCAGTCCTTGGCCCCATTGAAGTCCCGCCTGCAGTGGCATCTGTCTACAGCAGCTGCTTTCTGACTTAGAATTTAGAGACTCTATAAGCTTCCAACTTGGCTGCCAACTTGCAGGTACGACCTGAACCATGTTAATGCCGAGGGTGCAACTACAGCCTCCTACCTGGCAAATCCAAACCGCAGAAAGGCCCGTGTTCTGTGCCTCATCCCTTCCTCCTGCGCACAGACACGCACAGCTGCCTGAACACTTTCACCCCTTAGAACAGAGTATGTATTAATATATCTTGGGATTCAGAATCCCGAACCCCTTCCTTCAAATACTGCATCCTTTGTTAGGCGTCTAAAGCAAGGATGAAAGATTCAGTTGGGTTACAACAGTTTTGTGTGGCGTGTTCTTAAAGGCACAGGAGCAGTGAAGAGTAGATGATGGTGATGATGATGACGACAGTGAGGAGGAAATCCACTCAGCTGCACGCGTGAGCTGGTCTTTATCCAGACGTGATTCTCTGGCTTTTACTCTGCGACTGATACCCTAACACGACTTCTGCAGTCGTAGCTGCTGCCGTGTGAGCAGACCCAGGGAGCCTAGAGTGTCACAGGATCTTTAAGGGGAAGGTGCCGAAGGTCGCCTTCAGCAGCGCTCACACCCGAGACCCCATCAGTGCTCGGGAACCCGCTCGCTCCTGGGCCTCTGCTAATTGCTAGAAAGTTCTTCTCTCCTAGCCTGAGACCAGTCATGGACCGTCCATCCAGTGGTCTGATCTGGCCCTGCCTTCCGGCTGATACAGATTAAACACCCTCCCTTCCTTGGATGGGGGCTCTCCTGGTGGTTCAGACGGTAGAGAATCTGCCTGCAGCGCAGGAGACCTGGATTTGATCCCTGGGTCGGGAAGAGTCCCTGGAGAAGAGAAAGGCAGCCCACTCCAGTATTCCTGTCTGGAGAATCCATGGACAGAGGAGCCTGGCGGGCTTTAGTCCATGGGATTGCAAAGAGTTGGACACGACTGAGCAACTAACACGCTTTCCCTTGGGTGACCGGCTCCTCAGAGATGGGCCAAGAGTTCCAGGAGCTTCCTCTGCCCTCCACAACGCGGAGCCTCTCTCCTCGGGACAGAGCGCCCACAGCCGCCAGCTTCGGCCACAATCGCTGCAGACGTGGCTCCTGCCCGGGTCCTCTCTGCTGCGCCACTCACAGCCTGGCTGGCCTTCCCTGACCGCAGGCAGAGGGGCTCCTCTGTGGCCGGCTGTGGCCAGAAAGGACCCCTGAAAGGCAGGAACACTTTCTCTAGCGGCGCGTTCGGGTTCCGGGCCGTGGAGTTTTGCCCCCCAGCTGTCTCCTCCATCTCAGCACACAGCACCCTGTCTTTCCTGTTGCTCAGGCCAGCATCCTTGGGGTCACCCTTCACCCCTCTCTTCCCCACCCACGTGGGTCTCCTCGGCAAACCATCCCAGCTCTTCTTTGCAAATCCAGCCAGGACGCCCACCTCTCCCCCCTCCCCCAGCTGCTCCGAACCCTCCCCACCTTTCGCCTGGCCTCCCCACCTCTCGCCTGGCTCTTGCAGCGCCTCCTACCAGGCCCACCGCTTCCTCCGCGTCCCCCCCCCACCCCGTCTCCTTCCAACGAGGGACCCTGCTGACAGCCACGTCAGGACAGCCCACCCCCTGGCGTGGAGGCCAGTGCCCCCTACCCACAGCCCGCGGGGCCGTCCCCTGCCTCCTCCCCTCTCCTGCCGGGAGTCCCGTCCGCCTCTTCAAATGCGGGGCCCCCAGCCTCCAGGGGAATGGCGAGCTCCCGCACTTCTTTCAGGTCTTGGCCCCAAGGTCACCTGCTCAGGGGACCTGCCTTGAGCACCCTACTCAAAACCGCACACCAGCCCCAGCCGCCCCACCACCCCATCGGCCCACCCACCGCGGGAGCGCCGCCTGGAGCACGGGCACCTCAGGCGCAGCCAGCCATCCCGGGCGCCCTCTGCTCTCCCGGCCAGCCTGGGGGCCCGCGGGGCGGGCGCGGTCCGGCCCGCTGACCTGGCCCCCAGGGTGGAGCGCGGAGGCCGCCCATGGCGGCTCGGTAGCGCCCGCTGCGAGGCGACGGCTCTGTGGTCTCACCGCTGTTGCCCCCCCATGCCCCTCAGGGGGATTACCAGGTCCTGCTGGGGCTCTACAACCAGGACCATGCCACTGTGGCCTGCGCCAACGCCACCGTCCTCTATTCCTGAGCGTCTCGAAGCGCCGTCAGCCGTCCTGTGGCAACAGCATCTCCTCCCACGGACCCTGCCGAGAGGGGGGACCAGCGGACCGCAGAGCAAGCCTCCCGGAAGGGCTGGCGCTGATGTCAGCCCCGGGACCAGAGGTCCCCGCACTCCACGGATGCAACCAAGGCCCCAGAGTATCCGCCTCCCAGGAGCTCCTGGGGGTCAACCCAGCAGTCTTGAGGGACCGTCTCCCACCCCTGGGTGCTCTCCTGACAAAGCTCACCTCTTTCCTGCTCCTGGGAGCCCAGGATCAAATAAAGAAACTGGCCCACAAGGAGTGCCTCGTGGTTTGTTTAAGAATCCTGGTACAACCCTGTAGCTATAGCGTGAGCTCCTCTGCCCACAGAGTCGCGGGCTGCCACAGCATAAGTGATGCTGAGAGATGCAGGAAGGTGACAGCCCTCCTGCAAGGGCAGAGCTGGGGGTGAGCCGTCCCTTCTTCCAGGAAGCCCCACACTGGACGTGAGGCCCAGAAGCTGGTGAAACCTCACACGCAGACATCACAGTCTCCCCTAAACTAACCTCCTGATAACTTCATCCTGGAGTGCGGCTGTCCTGGCCCCGGCACACCTTGGCTCTCCTGCGCGTGCTCATTAATTCACCCCCCAAGTCACTGCTGGCCACTCACGTACCGGGCCCTCTGCTCAGCACTTAGGCTACACCAGGGGGCAAAAGAGACCTTGTCTCTGCCCTCAGGGAGCCTGCAGGGCCCTGAGATATTAAAAATTCACATGTCCACCAGGGCCAAATCACGCACACGCAGAGCCGCCTCCTCCAACGCCCCCCATAAACGACGAGGTCGCCTGCTGTTGCCAGAGGCCATGGGGCGCCCAGAGGTCTCCTGTCCCTGGCAGTGCAGAATCCCCGGGGGGCCCTGGCCCCCTCCACACCCTCCTGCTCCCCGCTTCTGCTTCTGTCCCTCTTGCTCCTGCAAAGGGGCTGGAGTTGGGAGACTAGGGTTGACCGTCTTGTTTGCAGGTCTTTTACAACCGTCAAGGTGCCACTGTGTTAGCAATGAAAAGAGGAAAGAAATGCATGGTTTTAAAATGCCCGTTGCTATTAATTACCATCTGTCTGTAATTGAACTTCCCGGAATAGCAAGCCATAAATGCCTGGTGAATCAAAACCTTAAACCCAGCATCTGAGGTTTCCTGGGTTGTGGAGAGACAAAATTACAGCAGTGTTCTCGCTGACGCCTAAAACATTCTGGGGTAAAGGCTTGCTGCGTCCATGCCAGGCTCGGGGGCAAAGCTCAGGGCACACACGTGGCCAGGGGCAGGGGGAACTGTTGTGGATCCAGACGGCAGACTGGACTGCTGGTCCTTCTCCATTCCTCCCAGCCAGACATCCCCCGTTCCCTTTCCAGAAACATCCCCACGTCCAGTAGGGGCCCCGGGTGGGGTCCAAGAATTCACAGGTTCCATAGATGGCTCAGGACAGCTGTCGCCGCCTTCCAAAGATGGGGACGGGGAAGAAGCAGTGCACATCTCATCTTCCACTATTCAGCTGTTCCTTTTTCTATTCTTTGCTCTCTTCTTAAAATTCATTGACAGTGTGTGTGTATGCGTGTGGGGGGGGGGGGTGGAGAGAACCAGAGAGACAGGGCAGGGGGAGAAAGAAAGTTTTCGAGGCTCTAGGTTTAGTTAAACAGAGACTCCCACACACACGTGGGCTGACCCTGCCTCGGCTGAGAACACAGGAGTTCACAGCAGTTGCACTAAGGGTGTGATTTGAGGAGGAAAAAGTGTTTCTCGGCCCCCAGATATGTCTGCCCTTACATTTCACCGAGTTTCACTCCTGCAAGTTGAGAAAGTTTTTCCCTGTTTATGACTCTATTAAAAAGTACAAGCCGTCCTGGTAGGAGAAATGCCAGGATAATTATCATAACTCAGGCAGAACATCATAACTAGGGTGAAGCTTGGAGTTGCCAACACAGGGAGCAGGAGGTATTAGGGGGCAGGTGGGCAACCCACGGCAAGCTCTTTTAGGCTGGTCACCCATGTGTGCCCAGCGGTAGGGTTGGGGGGGGGAGGGGAGAGGGGGCCCTGCCAAAGAATTTAACTTAATTATTCCTTATCAGTGATTTGCCACTGTTTCAAAATCACCATCAAGTATTCTAAAAATTTCTCCTGAATAAACCTCTCTGTAAAAAAAAGAAAATTCTCTGATTTAAGGTTATGCTATGATGCCTCCAAACCAAGGGACTCAAGTGGAAATAAACGAGCTCCAGTTATTTTGGTGTCCGTAGGCCCTTCGTTATATTTTAAGGGCACCTCTGTGTGTGTGTGTGTGTGTGATTTTTAAGGGAATGCCGGTGCCCAAGGAGAGCTTCCCCAGGCGAGCTTCAGGCAGAAAGCTGAAGATCCACTGGGTCAGTGTGATCGGCCCGCTTGGAATGCTTGTCAGGAGCGGAGACCAGCTCCTCTGGTTACACACGGCTCAGCCTCCCTGCTGAGGCCACGCGGTTCCGGCCTCAGCCGCGGTTCGCTAGAAAGCTTCACGCGGTCATCAGCATGTGACCTCTATTTCTGTGCAGTTCTCTTACCTCTGGGCTCCCGAAGATTGGCCTCACCCTCCGACAGTCCCTCCTATAATAGCAAAGAGTTGCACACTTGTCCAAAGCACAGAGGAGAGTGGCCTCCCTCCCCAAGCCCTGCATTTAGTCCGAGGGCAATGGTTTGGATCACGTGACCACTCCTGGCCAAGCACCTCGCCCTGGTGCTGATTGGCTTGCCTGTGTCACATGACCCCCCGAGCGCTGGATTGGCATGGTCCCACTGGAACCACACCACCCCCCAAGTGGACACTGGGGAGTTTAGAAAGAGTACAGAGAGGAAAGGGTTGTGGAAGAAGCGTCTAGAATTAGGCCATCTTTTCAGCTGTTAACTGGACAAGAACCTCAGATTCTCTAAGCCTCTCTGTTCATCTGCATGTGCCAACAGTAATAACACCTGCCTTACTTACAGAAATACCTTGAGAAGTAAATGAAAGAACAGTGCCAGGCATGCAGTTCAATGAATGTGAGTTATTATTTTATCCAGGAGGTGCGTGAGTCAGTTCAGAACACTATAATAAAAATACCGTAAGCCGGGTGCCTTACAGACAACAGACATTTGTTTCTCACATTTTTTCTCATTTATTTCTGGAGCTCAGAAAGACCGAGACCAAGTTGCTGGTAAATTCGATGTCTGGTGAGAGCCTGCTTCCTGGACCACAGACAGCTGTCCTCCTGCTGTCGTCACATGACGGGGGCGGGGGGGGTGCCAGAGCTCTCCGGGGTCCCTTTTTATAGAAGCACGAATCATGTCATCACCTCCCAAAGATCCCCCCGCTAACAGCATCTCGATGGAGGTTAGAATCTCAACCTATGGGCTTAGGGGAGACACAGACATTCAGTCCAAAGCAGACGCGTACTCACCTTGGAGCAGAAGGCCTGCTTCCTAATTTCCCTTCGACATCGTCGGGTGCAAACTGTCTCTGACCCCTGACCTCACCCAGAAGCCCGCATTCCTTTTAAGTCCTGACACGGTTCCTTGGCACCTTGATTTCCTCTCAGTGTGGCTGGTTTAAGTAGATCTGGGTTAGGCACATGTTCGCTGAACTACATAAACCCGGAAAAGAATTTAAGGGGAACATTCAGGGACAAGTTTCCCCTGAAACAGAAACTTTCCAGGCCAAAAAAAAAAAAAAAGCCTAGGAAAGAAGATGCATGTAATTTTTAATTAAACTTGTTTCCTGTTTAAAAAAAGAAAGAAAGAAAAGATACACATTGGGGATGTGAAGAACTAAATGTAACATCTGCAAATGTAACAATTACGTCTGCCTCCAGAAAAAATCACCCAAAATAGCTAGTGAGAGAATGGAAAAGGCCACATGCTGATTTTAACCCGGACTTGTTAAGGAGGGAAAACTTATCATCCCAGCAGTTCAATTTCAGGTTTGAATCAGCTACAGTTTTCTCAGCCAGCTTTCTCAGACAAGTTCCTTTGTCTAGTTTCCCCATCATTTGATCTGAGCAAGCAGGGGTCCCAGGGGATTTGGAGATCAGCCACTTAACATCTAGTTTGTAAATAACTTCAGTTTTTTCATTGGAACTGAAGCCTGCAGCTGCTTTCAAATGTACCAACCTGATTTTTTTTTTTCCTCCCCAAACTCAGATTTCCTTTAAAAGGTAGTATAACACCAAATTCTTTCTTTCAATTTCTTGGCCCCTCACTCTTGGAAAAAAAAGAATATTTGCATTGATGTTATTTCAGCTGAAAACAATAATTTCTTCCTCCAGCTGAAGTTTTTATGGATTCCTTGAAACTCAACCAAGGATGCAAAGAAGGAAAAAGTCCATGCCACACAAGCTCATATCATTTTATTGTGGTTTTCCCTTCTTTTCTTCTACTCAGAAATGGTTGGAGAAAACTGGAGAAGGGGCCAGAGAATATTATTGAAATAATCAAAGGGTTACAGCAAGGATTTCACATCAGTTCAGTTCAGTCACTTTGTCATGTCTAACTCTTTGTGACCCCATGGACTGCAGCACGCCAGGCCTCCCTGTCCACCACCAACTCCGGGAGTTTATTCAAACTCATGTCCATTGAGTCGGTGATGCCATCCAACCATCTCATCCTCTGTCGTCCCCTTCTCCTCCTGCCTTCAATCTTTCCCAGCACCAGGGTCTTTTCAAATGAGTCAGCTCTTACATCAGGAATCAAGGATTCCACATAAAGGTAGACTAAAAAGGTTAAAATACATGATATAGAAAAATAACGTTTGAGAAGGCAGAACAACTGCAATAGTAATATCGTCAGTTTAAAAGCTAACAATTTTTTGAGCACTTGCTATGTGTTGGTATTGTGCTAGATACTCTGTGTTCAGTTACTCAGTGTTGTCCGACTCTTTGAGGCCCCATGGATTATAGACCACCAGACTCCTCTGTCCGTGGGATTTTTCCAGGAAAGAATACTGGGGTGGGCTGCCATTTCCTACTTCAGGGGATCTTCCCCACCCAGGTATCAAACACGAGTCTCTTGCGTCTCCTGGATTGGGAAGCGGATTCTTTACCATTATGCCCCAGGGGAGTCCGACCTCCGTCTCAATGCTTAGTCTCGGTGAGCCGATGGGGATAATGCCATGGCCCACTTCATAGAAGAGGAAGTTGGGGTTCGCGAGGTGAAGAAGCAGAGCCCTGTGCCTTCAGGGATCAGTGGGCCTGTAGCGGCCCTGCCGCCCGAGACAGGAACAGTGGGGCCCTCGGGGCGCCCCGGGGTCCGCCGGCTCCTTCCCGCGCTTACTCCTCCAGCCAGACCAGTAACACTCCGAGTCACGCCTGTCCCCAGAAAAGGGTCACGTGCTTGTAGCCTCTCCTCCTGTCTTAGTTCGTTTTGCTGCTGGAACAAAAACACCATGGAATGGGCCACTTAGGAGCAACAGAAACTCCCCTTTTCACATTTCTGGAAGCTGCAAGTCCGGGGTGTCTGGGGTCGGCCCTCCTGGCTCCTGGTTCTAGGCGCATGATGGCTGTCTTCCCACTGTGGCCTGAGTGCTGGAAGGGCAGGGGGAGGGGGGCTCCCTCTGGCCTCTTTGATAAGCACTCCACACCCTCCCAAGGGGAGTCCAGCCTCTTGACCCAACCATTCCCCAAAGCCCTCACTTGGCAACACCCGCACTGGGGTGCGGTCTGTTTCAACATCTGAATTTTTGAGGGATGCAAACATTCCGACCTCACACCTCCTTTCTATTTTTCCTTTTCCCACCTCATTTTTGGTCATGAAATGGAAGATACCAAAAGACAGCTTAACGATGAAACTCCCCTATTGAAAATTAATAATCCCAACCACCAAAAAGAAAGAAGAGTTATGCAATGTGATCGAAGCAGTAAATATCACTTTGACAGCAATCATTGCAATACATGGCTGCATTGTTTAATACCTTGTACATCTTAAACATACACACAGTTGTATGTCAATATATTTGATTTTTTTAAAAATTAAGGAATAAACCATCTGGTCACCTGCCCATGCCTGCACTCTCAGTGATGACCCTCTCCACCATCCTGGGTGACACACGTCTGGTCTGCAGTCATTTAGAAGAGAAAGGTGCTGCCACTCTTGCCTCATTCCCTACCCACAGTTTTTCATCATCGAGCTGGATTTTCCCTTTGTTGCCTCCAAAGGTACCAGACTGTTTGTCTGAGTTGCGTTTTTTCCCTTCCCTTTCACATACCCTGAGGGCTGTCTGCAGCTGCTTGCTTCTTGTTCAATTTTTTAATTGGATCTCACGGTTCAATATTTTACGTGTTTTGACTTCACTATTTCACAGCCACGCTCAGGCTCCAGAACCCTGGACTTGGGAATGAGCCCCTAAGGTCAGCGCTGGGAGTGGGATCACACCTGCCCCACTCAGGGAGCTCACTCCCAGATGCCGGAGAAACGGCCCTAAAAATCAGAAGCTGAGACTCAGCATAGCTGTGGAAGGAAGCCGATCCTCCCTGGACCCAAGGGCACCGCGTTGTCTCTTCTGGATATCTCGGGGTGGAAGTCTTGATGTGGGCTCTGCCTTGTGGGCGAGGGGAAGGGGCCCGGGGCCCCACGCCCCCACCCGACCCTGCAGACATGCACTGGGCCTCAGGGGGAGAGCGCGCCAGCAGGAGTCTGGGCCGGAAGCCTGTGCGCCAGGCACTCAGGGCCTCCAGGCCCCCCCTGGCATGCTGTGGGGTCCCCATGGCAATAGGGTACCGGCACCAGAGGGTAGAATACCGCACAGCTTCTCCACAAACCGGAGGGTCCCAGCACCAAGCTGGGAGGGGAGAGCCAGGCCTGGGCACGGGGCCACGCGCCCCCAGGACCCGCAAGGGCAGCGGTGCTCAGCCTTCTTGCACCCTGAGAGCCTGGGTCAGCGCCTGGGGGAGCCGCCCAGGAATGAGAGAGGAAAGAACTGCTCCTCTGCTGACAGAGGCCCCAGAAATTAACCAGCGGGCGGCAGGAGGAGAGTCTGCAGAGATCCCTTCACATGCGAGTCGAGGGCTCCGTCAGTGACGTTTCATTCAGCTCTCGTCGTGAGAGCGTCTTCACTGGAACCCACAAGCGGACGCCTGAGACGTTCCAGCTTTGCTGGTGGGCGGGGGTCCCTTCTGCAGAGCCCCCCAGCCTGGAATCCCATTTCCTCCCCACGTGCTCCCACCTTGTCTCCTTCAGTTTCCCTGCAGACACGTGGGGTCCACTTGGACTTCCCTGGACCTCCGCGCTGTCCCCCTCTGTCGTTTTCCCGTCTCCCTGACGACGGGAAGCATGCTCCGCTCTCACCCTGGACTCCCTCCCTCAGCTCCTCCCGACAAGAAGCCCTGGACTCTCGTCTGTTTACGGTCTGGACCACACACCGCCCCCCCAACCCCTACGGCTCCCCGTTCACCTTCCTCCCAAAGGAAACTTGTGGTGGGGTGTATAGCAGAAGAAACTCCAAACCCAGGGTAATTTACAGCATTATTGTTGTTCAGTCACTAAGTCGTGTCCAACTCTTTGTGATCCCATGGACTGCAGCATGTCTGGCTTCCTTGCCCATCACCATCTCCCAGAGTTTGCTCAAACTCATGTCCATCGAGGTGGTGATGCCATCCAACCATCTCACACTCTGTCACCCCCTTCTCCTCCTGCCTTCAATCTTTCCCAGCATCAGGGTCTTTTCCAACAAGTTGGTTCTTCGCATCAGGTGGTCAAACTATTGGCACTTCAGCATCAGTCCTTCAAATGAACATTCAGGAATGATTTCCTTTAGGATAGACTGGTTGGATCCCCTTGCAGTCCAAGGGACTCTCAAGAGTCTTCTCAGGGCCACAATTTGAAAGCATCATTTCTTTGTTGTTCAGCATTCTTTATGTTCCAACTCTCACATCTGTACATGACTATTGGAAAAAACACAGCTTTGACTATATGGACTTTTGTTGGCAAAGTGATGTCTCTGCTTTTTAACATGCTATCTAGGTTTGTCAGAGCTTTCCTTCCAAGGTGCAAGCATCTTTTTACAATGTATTACAGCATATTAGATCTTTACTATGTATAGGACAAGAGTGAACTGCGTAGGGGACAATGTCCTACCTACATAGACAATATTTATAAGTTATTAGCTAACCACTCAGAGAAATTGTGTCCTCTTCTCTCTAGGCTCCACAAAAACCAGATATTAATCTCAGCCTCAGGGTCATGAGCCAAAAGACATATAGCAAAAGTTCAGACTAGCAAGTTAACTGGGAGGAAGTGACTTAGCCCATGAGATGGGAATGAGTGGTCTAAAAAAGAAACATAAGGTGATGATGGGCTAGTTTGCTAGGGCTGCTACAGCGAAGAACACAGACTGAACGGCTTAGAACGGCAGCAACGTGTGTTCTGTCCGTTTTACCCGGAACCAGGACCGGAACCCCGAGTGCTATCAGAGAGATGTTTCTAAAGCACAGACCTGGCTGCACCCTCTGTGTCGAGTTCTCCAAAGCCCCCCGCCTGTGCCCACAGACTCCTGCTCTGCGATGCTGAGACTCGGTAAGCCGGCCGCTCCCCGCTGGCCAGCACCCCTCCTTCCACGCCACCGTGAGGCTCCCCGGGGTCGGCTCACACCTCCTGGAGCACAGAGCTCTCCTGACTTTGCACGGATGCTCCCTCAACCGAGAACCTGCTTCTCCCTTCTTACCTGGCTGCTTCCCACAGAGGGTCTCTGTTGGGATGTCGCTGTCTCCCGGGAGCTGTCCCTCATCCGAGGGAATGGATTCGCTCTCCCACTGGTGAGCTCCCTCCCATCCCATCACGGCACTAATCCCTCTGGGCCACGATCACCTGTTTGTCTCTGTCCCCCTCACGTCACTGGGACCGCCTTGCAGGCAGGCTCTATGTTCAGTCTGGTCTCTAACAGAGGGCCTGGCCCTGAGTGAATGGTGACCATCACCTGTGGGGCTGAATTGTATCCGTAGCAGCAGAGACCCCAGACTGGGCTTCCTACCCCTCCACTACCACCCCCTCGGTTGAGGTCCTTGATAACTACCCGCTGTGTGGTTTCCCGTCAAATACATGCTCCACCCTGGGGCTTGGTCTCCCCTCGGGAGATCATGGCATGCCCTCTCCAGATCCCCCCTTATCTGAGCCCACAGATTTTCAGCCTATCTTCAGACTCACAGGGCAGAGAGCTGGTCCCTGTGAGGACCGCCCTTTAACCCCAGACGTCATCTGTGGAATTAAACCGTACCAGAGTCCACAGTGCCCTGGGAATTAGACTTCCTCTGCTGCATCTCTGTCTCCTTTGTCTGAATCTTGACCACCAGTACTGACCATGTGGACCACCATTTCCCGGCTCACTTTTTCCACCCCGCCCCACCTGTCAGCCGACACGCACACCACCCTGGAGAAATCTGATGCAGAAGCCCATCTGTGACATTTTAGATTTTCTGGAAGCCGTATCTCAAAACACGAAGAAGAGGGCTTCCCTGGGGGTAAAGAATCCGCCTGCCAAAGCAGAAGACCCGGGCTCAGCCCCTGACCTGGGAAGATTCATGCATCTCGGAGTTCCCGAACCTGAGCACATCTCTTGAGCCTGCAAGAGCCCAAGAGCTGCAACCACTGAGCCCACGTGCCTGAGAGCCCGCGTGTGCGGCGAGAGAAGCACGCGGCAGCCAAGACCCACCGCGACCAAGAGCAAACAGCAAGCAAAGTTAAAAAGGAAAAAGAAACCGGCAAAATGAATTTCAATCATGTGTTTTGTTTCACACAATATGGCCAAAACATCATCGTTTCAACACGCAATCAATAGTTTTAAAAAATTGTCAGGACCCTATGTGACATTCTTGTTTTCGTACTAAGGCTTCACGATCTAGTCTGCACCCTTCACTGGCAGCACACCTCGCTTTGGATTACTGTCCACTCACTCGGTGCCTGGCGGCTACAGGGGGCCAGTGACTGCCGCCCTGGACAACACAGGACAGGCGGCGGGGTAGTCATAGTAACAGTAACTAGTGGAGACGACGTCCTTGTCACTTGCCCAGGACTCTACTGAGCCTCTGAGACTTTCCATGCACTAATAAGCTTAAGCTTCACAGCAATCCCACAAGCTACAGTCTGTTGTTAACCCCATGTTGCAAACGAGGAAACAGTCTCAGAGATTAAAAAACTGTACTTACCACTCGTCTCCCCTGCCCCCGACCTATGGAGCACGTAGTAAGCACAGGATTTGCTAAGTCTGAGAAGTCACATATCAAAAATGCACATAAAGGTTAAAGATGCTATGGATGATAAAGCAGAAAAGTTTGGATGAGCAAATCTGTGTTTTGAAAGTCATCAGAGAGGACAGTCGTATGCTTCCAAAAGCTACCTCCCTGTGCCATGGCCAAAAAAATGGATGAAAACACAACAAAGTGTAGCTTTTATTATGCTCTCAGGCTTTGAAAGCTTCAGAAAGAATTAGCTGAGAGAAAGTTCATTTTCAACAGTTCTGACAGATGATTAAAATCAAGCTGGTTTCCTTTTGGTCCCTTCATGGAGCAAACTCTGCCAGCCTCTGGGGCCACTGTTCTTAGCCGGGCACACAGTGGGGGGTGAGGGCAGCTGCTTTCTCACGTGCTGTTTTCAAAGACTTCTCCAGGATGGGCATCTGTGGCTTCCTTCTCATGTCCTTGAGGACCTAGAGAGATGACTTCCTAGCAACAGGAAGGGGAGACCTGTCCCCTCCCTCAACAGATGGAAGAAAGATCACCTCCCAGCAATAGTCTTGGGTAATTGCACCTTTCTCTGTGCCACAGTTGAGCTTCTGGGAAATATTTACCTCTTTAACCTTCAGACTTCACTATCCTAATTGAAAAGAACCTGAGAAATGTATGAGGATTAAGTTCCATTTCAAGGAACAGAAAATCAAGTAGTGATTTACACAAGCTAGAAATCCAATTCTCTCCTCCAAGAACCCAAACAGTCTGTGATCAGCAGGGCTTGAGTTTGTCTTATTCTGTGACTTTATCACCCTCCCCAGATGGCTTCTGTCTCGTGGACCAAAATGGCTGCGCAGATCCAGTCATCTCATCACATTCCAGCCAACAAAGGAGGTGAAAGGGCAGGGAAGGAATAAGCCCTCTCTTAAGGACCCTTCCTAAAAGCTGTATATACAGCTTACATAAACGCCATACTGACCAGAGCCCAACACAAGGCCATCAAATCTTCAAGAGAGGATGAGGAATGTGATCTTTGATCTGCTGTGTCTGCAGCAACATGCGAATGTGCCTCTCAGACTTCTGACTGCAGGGAGTACAATCATTGGAGGTCCCCAGCTGCTGTGTTCCAAAATCCGTCACTGCGTTTGCAGGGAGGTCATCCTTCCCGCAAGCTGCCCCAGCCTGAGTGTATCAGTACTACTGAGGCATCCTTAGTTGTAGTCGTCCAACTCCTCTGATGGGGAACATCAGCTAGAGAACTGTATGAATTACCTCTTCCCACGTAACAAATTAAGTCTTCCTTGATGGCTCCGTGGTAAAGAACCTGCCTGCAACGCAGGAGATGCAGGAGACCCGAGTTTGATCGCTGGGTCAGGAAAATCTCCTGAAGGAGGGCATGGAAACCCACTCCAGTATTTTTGCCTGGAGAATCCGGTGGACAGAGGAGCCTGGCAGGCTGTGGTCCATGAGGTCGCCAAGAGTCAAGACTGAAGGGACTTAGCACGCATGCAGGAAGTCCAAACTGTGTAGTTCATAAGCATGGCCAGGAGGTGGCAGTCGTGACCAATGAGAAAACCCTGCGGCTCTGCCTCTATCAGCTGTTCATTGCCCAGTGGATGCTTCCTGGACCTAATCTGATTCTTATGAAAGCGATTTCCTTCTTACGAAAACATCAGACCCAAACAGAAACTAACCTCATCCTGCAGATAAAGACTGTTTGTGCCTAACAAGCTCTCTTAGCTCTAGCCAGACCCTCAGTAAGTACTTTCCCAGCAGCAAGAGGCTGGAACGTCATGGGAACTGGGTGGGCGCAGGCCTCTCCCTGAAGCCCCACCGTCTTATCAGAAGCGGTCCAAAGGGGGCGGGCTTCGCAGACTGCCAGACTGATCCCAGCCCCGGGAAGGCCGAGCAGCTGGAGGATTCTGCAGGAAATAACAAGAAGCTAGGCGGCTGCTGTGTTGAGGTCACGGTGCTGGTCCCACGTCCTGAGTCACTCACACCAAGTCCTCTCCCACCAGTAATGCCCGCATGCCTTCCTCATGCAGGCACAGGTCCAGTGGTCTTTCCCGAGAGGTGATCATTGAATCGGCATCATCGCCACCTCTCTAGCTACAGATCTAGGTCGGCTGGTCAGACAGCGAAGGGTTCTGGGAGGATTGGGAAAGCCACTTAAGGAGTCCAGACCTGACCCGGTGGCCGCCAGTTGAAGATTTCCAGCTGGAGAGGGCAGATGGGGCAGAACATAGAGGAGGCGAATGGGAGCAGACCGAGGAAGCTCTCCTCATCCCTGACTCTCAGCATCTTGTCAATCTTCTTGAGCCTCTCGTAGCATGCTGAGACAAGCGGAGGTGTTTCCTGGGTTCCTTCCTCTGTCTCATCTTTGCCAAAAAAAATAGCCCTGTTTCCATTGAGTCCTGAGACTCATGTGATGGCAGGAGAGCTCGTGGGCAGTGGCATCAGAGGGACCAGGCTTCAGGATCTGGAGACGTAGCAGAAGCCCTCAAACCTCTGTTTCTACGTGTGTTACGTGGGGGCGAAAGTGTTTACCACAGGGGCTGCAGTGAGAGTGCAGTGAGACCAGACAGATAAGTCCTTAGGACGGACCTGAGCGGACACGTGCTCCATAAGCTGGGTGCCACAGGCCGGGGCCACCTGGGAAGCGGCCACGGAGCAGAGCAAGCTCGCCAGCAGGCGCTGATCCAGCCCTGGGGCTCATCCCATGCATGCATGGTTCTATAGGCTGCACAGGCATGCACACACAGCCCCCCACACGCACACACACCTGTGCATGCACACTCACACATACACACCCACCTGTATGCATACACATACATACCATACACATACATACACCCGCACACCCACACACCCACCTGCATGCATACACATACATACCATACACACCCCCACACCCGTGCACGCACACACACACCAATCCACACACATACACACCCACCTGTATGCATACACATACACACCATACACACACACACACCTGCACACACACACCCGCACACACACACCCCTGCATACACACACACCCGTGCACACACACACAACCAATCCACACACATACACACCCACCTGTATGCATACACATACACACACCCGCACACACACACCTGCACGCACACACCCGCACACACACACACCTGCACACACAGACCCGCACACACTCACACCCATCCACATCCACACACACACACATATACACCCACCTGTATGCATACACATACATACCACACACACACACACACACACCCCTGCACACACACCGACACACACACACACCCGTGCACGCACACACACACACCTGAATGCAGACACATACACATCACACACACACACATACACTGAGGCATAGAGGGCCCCTGTTCCCTCACACACACCCAGGTCTGCTCTGAGCTGACTCTCTGCCTCCTCAGTGGTGCGTGCAGGTCTCCCTTTTCCATCTGCATGGGTCTGCTTCTGGAGGGCCCACCTGGCGGTCAGCCTCCTGGGGTTCTGTCCCTCTGAGGTGGTCCTGACTCTGGTCACCATCCAGGGCCAACTCCCCTCCGTGGCCAGAGTCGAGTCACCTGCTGGCTGATAGAAATATTTCCTTGTGGGATCAGACACCTTGTAGGATCAGACACCTTGAGGGACCAGACATCTTGCAGGATCAGTCACCTTGAGGCCAAGCCCAGGTTCTGCATGTATTAGAACCGCCAGGAAGGGAAGGTGTCCTGTGAGGTTAGGAAGAAGGTGGCCCCTCACAGGAGCCTCGCGAGGAGAAGCCCCCCCCCACCGCGATAAACACCGCATTCCACCTGCCAGCCCAGGCAGGAACCTGGCCCTTGGAGGAGAACCCGGAGCGTGACAGGGCCTGCGGGCTCTTCCCACCTGGCATCCGGGGAGAACTGCACGTGTAGAGCTCAGCCTTCGCCCAGGCCAAGTCCAGATGCCCTCCCATGACAGACGGGGTGGGCAGAAATGGGTCGCCTTGCCCTGTCCACACTGCCAAAGCTCCGAAGAGTGGTCTCCCGGGACCAGGGGCCGCTGCCAGGCCCAGACCTCCTAGTGCAGCTGGACTCGTGTGACAGAACCTGTGAGCCCCGGCCTGCCCATCCTACACCCTGAATGTGGTTCTGAAGTTGGTTTGAAATGCGTTTCCCATCAAGACAAGGGGGCTTGGACTGCACATGTGTAGGACTCCCTAATGGAGATCAAATCCTTTCTAGGCCTCGTGTGGATACCAGAGGTCAGGTAAAGCCTGAGAAGTTTCGGGGGACCAGACCAAGATCAGAGTTGGGGGACAATTGACAAGAGAGGTCAGAGAACAGGGATGGATGCGAGGGAAGGTACACAGAATACTGGGGAGTTGAGGAAGGATCCCGTAAGCCACTTAGGACTTTGGATCTGCCTCAAGGGCAATGGGGCACCATCTGGAGTTTCTCCCATGGGGAGCCCCCTGACCACAGAGTGAAGCTCTTCTCCCCTCGGGGCTGGAAGGTGGGTGCAAACTCAGCAGTGAGGAGCATGCACTTAGGAGGAAGGACCTGGGCTCCTCCCTGATGGTGGGCAGGGAGGGGGACCCTGAGATCTCGGCTTCAGTATTGGGGGGCAGAGGAGGGGAAAGGGTTGTTTGTTCAAAAGGCCAACAACCCACCAAATCCGAGGTCGGGGAGCTTGTTTTAGTTTGGGTGGCAGGTGTACACAACTAGGGGAATCTGCGTTTTGCTCCCTTGGAAATTCCGTCTCCTCCCAGCCTGGAAATTTCCATCAGCCGAGACCCAGCGCCCGTGGGGCTGCGTCAGCACTGAGAGGATGGAGCAAGACAGAAAGAAGGGTCTGTTTTCTGGGAGGCGTTTGTTGTCTCTCCATGTGGGACAAAACCAAAGTCCATTATCCTTCAGGCCCGAATAAATTGATTTCTGTGTGTCCAGACAAGTCCCGCATGGAACTCGGGGCCTGCGGGAAGTCATTTAAAAGTTGAAATATTTTCATGATATCATAGTGTTTTTCTAAAAGGAAAGATACTGCGAATAAATACACCTGCTGCACCCATGATAAGTTTAATTTCTTTTTCTATTTAACTATATTAGTAAACAAAGGCACTCAAGGACACACGTATCTCTACCTACCGGTCAGTCGGTGCAGGAGCAGACGGGCCAGGCTTTCCAACTGAAACCTTTTTATCGCAGCCACATCGACTTTGCACAAATGACTGTTCATTTTCAAAGTGCATGTTTTATAATACAGACATTTTAATTTTTCTCTACATATGTTTTATTTGTTAATGTCATCTATTTATATATTTTTCATTTTTTTATTTAAGACAAAAGCCGGGATTAACAAAATTGAACCAAAAATGCACCCAGAAACATAGCCTTATGGTATCAGAACCTCCTCTCCGAAAAGCAAGAAAGTTCCATAGCTAAATTACGAAAACTTGGTAGGCTTCCATGAGATTTTGAAAATAGTTCCATGGCAAGATGGCTCACATATTTTCCACGACTAGATTAGAAACAGATTGATGACAATTGAAACAGAAAACATAAATACTGCCATATTTCATGGACTTTGAGACTCCATCAGTGTAAGACACACGGTTGTTTAAATAAAGCACCACGCATGAGAAAATGCTGGCTGCTCACTGCGCGTGTCACAGTGCTGTCTAAGCACTTAGAATGTTTATTTTAAACATGTTAAAAGAACTCTTGGACCTATTTGAACATAGAATGTTTTAAACCATGTATCACTCTTCTACATGCATAAAAAGGAAATGCGGCTAAATAAATAGGCTTAGCTTCCCAGGTGGCTCAGTGGTAAAGACCCTGCCTGCCCACGCAGGAGACGTTAAGAACTGCAGGTTCAATCCCTGGGTCAGGAAGATTCCCTGCAGGAGGGCATGGCAACCCACTCCAGGATTCTCGCCTGGAGAATCCCATGCACAGAGGAGCCCGGCGGCTGCTGTCCATGGGGTCAAGACTGAGTGAAGATGCAGACACACGCGTGCTGGCACAACTCAAGTCTGCAGAGAGATGAGCTCTGCTCTGTCCTTAGAGGCCACGGCTGGAGTCAGACCGGTCCCCGGCGATGGCAAGTCCAGTCATGGGCAGGCGGCAGCGATGACGCAGCTGATCCCAGGCTGGCTGCTTGGAACGGCTCTCCCCGCCCTTTCCCAGGCTCGCCTCCCGCAGCATCCTCCCGGCCATGCCAGGCAAGGGCCCCTGCACAAGGTGTGCCAATACCAACCTCTGCCTCCCAGGAGCCTCACAAACCTCCTTCCCTGCTGAGACTTGGCTCCAGTCAAAGGTGGGGCTCCGCTGCAGCGGGCAGAAAGCCCAAAGCATCATCTGAAGCTCAGCACCCACTTGGCTCTGGGAACTTGAGGGATCCCGTTGCCTTGGTTCCCGTCCCTGTGATGAGAACGGTAGCCTCACCTCCTCTGTAAGTGTATCTGTAGGGCTAACAATTTGCAAAACATGCCCGCTTTGTACCCTCTGACGGTGGAACACAGAGGGGTACCACTAAGGCACTATTGTGGGTGAGCTTCCAGCTTGACCATTCAGTAAACCATGTCCTGTGTTCCCACAGGTGTATATACAGAGAGAATAGCCCTGTCTCTGATTCTCTCTTTCCTGTTCTGGTGTGTGCAGTTTATTTCCCCTCTGCTTCTGGAAACAGCAGTCCTCCCCAGCACACCATAGCATCCCATCACCCCATCCCATCTCACTCCTGTCTGGCAGGAAAGGCGAAGACCCAGGGCTCAGGTCTGGCAGGTGAGAAGACCCCATCGGCCCCAGCCTGCGTTTCCCTGAAAGCCGAGTATCACGTGCACACACGGCAGTTTATCTGGGAAGAAGGTCCAGGGCGCAAGGGTGAGCAGAGGAGGGAAAGTCAACACAAGGACGTGTTACCAGACTGGCCACCAAGGCGACTGCCTGGAAAGAGATCCTGCCGGGCTGGAGATCCCCCGAGGGCCTCTGAGAACCGTTGGCCCGAGAGGCGGGGCATTCCCCCCGCGCCCCAGCCCGTCACACTGGCCTTTATTTCCAGGGGGCCTGTGAGAGCCGGGAGCACCCCTGCTGGGATGGGACCCATGCAAGCATCCTTAGTGACCGAGTGTGGACGCAGCCTCTCAACGGCCCCGCAGCGCGGGGACATCAAGAGCGGAGGGCTCACCCCAGTAGACAGGACCACCTTGCAGCTGATGGCCGTGAAGCAGCAGTCCCCAAACTTGAACTGAACTTGGAGAGCAAGAGTTCAAGCCTCTGATGAGTGTGGCGAACTTTCTGTGAACGTATTTAGACAACCAGAAAATGTCAACAAGATCTTATTTTAGTAGATACACAGCTCATAACAGATATCATGTCTATCTCTATCTATCTATCCATCAATCGATCAACTACCTTTGATCTGTCTGTCTATCCTACAAAGGGAACTGTCAGGATGGAGCTTAGCCATCTAAATTTCCTAACGCATCACAGGCGCTCAGGAGTCTTACTTCTCCTTACAGTCTCGAATGTCACCGCTAAGCGGGTGATGATCATCTCCACACCCTCGGTACAAACCACCCCCCTTAAGGGCTGACCCACATTTCAGGGACATTCTGGACGTTCCCACAGGCACTTTCAGCTCTTCGTGTCTAAAACACATCTCCTCCACATCCACAAGAAATCTCTCCTTCCTCCCGACCTCCCTGCCTCCCCAGCGCCCCTCCACCTTCCAGACCTCCCTCTCCCTGACTCCAGAGGGGCTCCCCCACTTCCCTGACTCCTGACCCCATCAGCGGCACAAGTGATCCTGTCTGTCTGCTCCGTGCAGTCCGGCCACCCGCTCCACAGTGCAGGACGCCCTTCCTTGGCGGGGGAGAGGGGCTTTAGAGACCCCCCGAACCCCCCACCCCCGGGGTCCCCTGCCCTCGTCCCCCCACACAGGGCCCTCCTGGCAGCTCGGCTTCCTTTGTCCTCACTGTCCCCTAAGTGCAGATTTCCCGTCTGGCAACGCAGAGTCCTCTGTAATTCATACAGCCTAACAGTCACCCAGGCCTGTTCCACCAAGCCATGCAGAAACAGACTCACAGACATAAGGGACAGATTTACACTTGCCAAGGGGGAGGGGGGAGGGGAAGGGATGGGCTGGGAAGCTGATGCTGCAAATGCAAACGGTCACATTCAGAATGGATAAACAGAAGGGGCCTACTATATAGCACAGGGAATGATTTCAGTATCCTGTGATAAACCACCATGGAAAAGACTATCAGAGAAGAATGTCTACATGTACAACTGAGTCACTGCTGTAGGGCAGAGACAGGCATAACACTGCAACTCAACTACACGTCAAGAAAAAGTAAATCCTAGAAAGAGGACAACCCCTCCCAGCTGCTTCATCGGCAGCGCTGAGAGAAGTGCGTCGCCCAGCAGGGACGGGGCCATATTCTTCCCCAGCATTTGCTGTCCTAGCCTAGCCTGCCTTCCTCTCCTCTCCCAACACACACAGGAAACAGTTACCCCTTTAAACACAGAAGGACAGTTCTCCGAAATAATCAGCAAAAGTCAAGGATGTGCAGATGTCGCACAGGGAGCAAGCGGGGAGAAGCATCAGGAAAATGCAGAAATCCCAAACTTTAAACGATAGCTGTCATGACCTCTTAGAGCCTACACGGAGAGAGGAGTTTGGGACACAAATCCTTCCAGAAGGAGGAATCCAGGCTGGAACCAGGGAGTTCCCAGAGGCGGTCCAAAGGCCAGGACGAGCCTCTTTCGGGGCCTGCAGACAGAAGTCTGTATGCCTGGAAATTACGAGAGTACTTTCTCCTTGACACTGAGGGGTTAAACAGGAAAATGTACATGCGGAAGCTATGAGGGAAAAGGAGGAAGGGAAGGGAGTGCGGCCTGCTTCCTCCCTCTGGGCAAAGAGAAAAAAACGTCTGCATTAAACAATGAGAAGACGGTATCATGATGAGACACTGTGAGGTGTGTCAGCTGGTGAGCTAGTCATGCCGGGCCCGGCCTGGAGCTTGATTGACCGTGGAGACACTGCCTGCCTCCTTGCAGCCACTCCTATAGGAAACTGCTGAAAACATCGTGTGTGTGTTTATGTGCGAGTGTACATGTGAGTGCTTGAGTGTGCATGTGTGTGGTTTTTCATGCATACATATGTAATTGTGTGTGCATATAAGTTGTGCGTACATGCTTTTGCACATGTGTGCATGTGATTGTGTGTGTGCATGTTTATGTATGAGTGTGTGTGTTTAGTGTGCATCTGTGTGTGGTTTTGCATGTATGCATGTGAACTGTATTTTGCACATGCGTGTGACTGTGTGTGCGAGTGTGTGCATGTTTGTGTATGAGTGTATGTGTGTGAGTGCTTGAGTGTGTGTGTGTGTGGTTTTGCACCTGTGTGTGTGTGATTGTGTGTGCTTGTGTGCACACAAGCGTGAAGCCAGCACAGGCTGCTGTGAGGCACACCCACTCCATGCCACCCAGAGCTGCACAAGTCCAGTCTGATCAGGTGGGAGAGCGGCAGTGACAAGAGTAAACGGAAGGAAAATTGCTCCTCTCCCTTCGTCTTCACTCTACTCCTAAAGGCAGGAGCCTTTGGGGTTGAAGACCGTAACCCAGTGTTTCCTAACCTGCACTCAGGGGACACAGACCTGTGACCTTGTGGGGCCCTCCTCCTTCCCCTCCCCCAGTGGAGAAGCAGATCCTCCCCACCTCCACCCACTCTCCGCCTGCGCACACACCCAAGTGTCCTACCTCCTCTCTTCACCATGGTCACCGGAGCCTCCGCCCTTAACTTCCCTAAATCAAGACTTGGCAGAGAACCCAAAGAACTGTGCTCCATGTCTTCCCAATGACCTGAAGCTGTGCTCGGCACTGTTTGGATAATACCATCTAACAGAATGCCTGGAAGTTACAGAATATACTCATTAAACACAGCTACCCATTCATAAGCCCTTGAAACATCTTAGAAGTCTCAACAAAGACTCTTCTGGGGACAGAGAGCCAGGCGGTGCCTAGGTCCTGCTTAGGAATTAGATTTTGTTTCAGAGACCACTTGCTATACTGTCTCAATACAGTATAGCAAGTTTCAGCAGCTGAATCAGTCCCTCCTGGGGAAAAAAACACAAAAATTTTTGGTGACTCTGTGCCATCTGCCTTGGGCAGGGGAAGGGGGTGGCATGGCTTGCCACCTTCAGCGGGCTACATGCTCAGGCACTGTCTCATCTGATCCTTGAGCGCTGTGTGCTAAGACGTTTCAGTTGTGTCCGACTCTATGCGACCCTATGGACTGGCTCCTTTGTCCATGGGGTTCTCCAGGTAAGAATACTGGAGTGGGTTGCCATGCCCTTCTCCAGGGGATCTTCCCAAGCCAGGGAGAGAACCCGCATGTCTTAGGTCTCCTGCATTAGCAGGCGGGTTCTTTACCACGAGCGCCACCATCAGCCTCGATTCACAAACAAAGCAATGGAGGGTCTTGTATTCAAGAGGGGGAGATCCTTATGTCTGGAACATGTGGATTCCCCTAAAGAACGGCTTTGGTAGGAGTATCCTGGTGGCCAAGTGGTTAGGATTCCAGGCTTTCACTGATGTGGCCCAGATTCAATCCTTGGTCAGTGATGGAGATCCCACAAGCTGCAAACCAAAAAGTAAAAAAAAGAGAGAAAGGCTTTGGCATTAGGACTCCCCATCGGCCTGGCTGAACCTTCCTTAGACCTGCACTGATGCCTTCCTCCCTCCACTGAGGCCACAACTGCATCTCAATCCAGGGTTCCCCAGCCTTTCTCGGGCCCCTCGGGAGCTCCCCACCTCTCCTCTCAGCTCCTAGATGCTTTCATTGCTGTTTAGTTGCTCAGACTTGTCCGACTCTTCTGTGACCTCGTGGACTGTAGCCCACCAGGCTCCTCTGTCCATGGGATTTTCCAAGCAAGAATACGGAGGTGGGCTGCCATTTCCTTCTCCAGGGGATCTTGCTGGACCAGGGATCAAACCTGCATCCCTTGCATCTCCTGCACTGGCAGTGGATTCTTTACCACTAGTGCCAGCTGGGAAGCCCTCAGATATGGAGTCCCTGACTAAAGAGGTGGAGCTCTGCAACGCCACTGCCAGCTCCACCGTGACCAGACCTCTGTTAGTTTCCTAAAGCACCCCAAGTAGGTGACTGATGACAAGAGATGTTTATTCTCTTACATTTCTGGAAGCCAGAAGTCTGACATCAGGGTGTGGGCAGGGCCAGGCTCCCTGTCAAACCGGCAGGTGATCTCTCCTGGCATCCAGTGGTTCTCCAGGAAGCTCTGGCAGACACACCACCCCAGTCCCCCAGCTTCACGTGGATTTCTCCCTGTGTCTTCACACTGTCTTTCCTCTGGGCAGGCCTTTCTCTGTAGTCAAACTGTCCCTTTTTATAACGGCTCCAGGGGGTCCACCTTCATGCACTGAACTCATCCTGCTGTGGTTAAACCATCAAAAAATCTTATTTCCAAACAAGGTCACATCCACAGGTATGGAGGTTGGGACTTCAACCTGTCTTCCTTGAGGGGGGAACACAACTCAACTCATACCAATAGCATGCCTGAGAAGGTCATTGCCTAGTAAGTAATTGTAAGTAATCACTGGGGAAAGGGGAAGACCCAGATACTGTAAGAACTATTGGGTCCAGATTGACCCCTGGGGACCCAGAGTGTCACCATGGCCCCCTGTTTAGCGTGGGTGCCTCTAGGGCCTGGCAATAAATGAGACCTGGTCAGTGTCCAGCTCACAATGGTCCTGCTTTTTCCACCAACACACCTGTGTGGCCACTTCCTTACAATCGTAATGACTATATTTAGTGGCTGGATTATCTTCAACACTGGGACCCTCGTCCTTGGGATAAGCCCTATCGTAGTGGAGGACACCAAATAGAAACCTCTGAAAATATCCCAGTCCATCAAGGCAGTAAATCAAAAACAATATTGCATTCTGAGAGGGGTGGCAGAAATTTGTATCACCATTAAAGACCTCGGGGGTACAAAGTCATTGTACCAATTCTATCTCCATTTAATGTACTGGTCTGGTCTCTACAGAAGTTGAATAGATCTGAGGGAATGACTATAACCTACAACAAACAAAACAAATAGCCGCTGTTCTCAGGGGCTGTGTTGGATTTGGTCCATGATTGACCTGGCAGATGCTTTCTTTTCAATTCCAATCAAGAAAGAGGATTAGAAACAGTTTGCATTTATGTGGGATGGAAAACAGTATTCAGTTAGCACTTTGCCCATGGCTATAAGAACTCTCCTATCTTCTTCATAAAATGGTCTGAAGATATGTGGACCACCTGAACATCCTACAGAACACGATGACATCATGGAGACTGGACAGAAGAAATAACAAGTTCACCTTGGTAAAAATACATGCATTAGAGAGGATTAGGATAGATCCCATGAAGATTCAGGGCTTACATGTCATTGATGTTTTCAGGAGTCCAGTGGCTACAGAATGCCTGAAATGTACCCTCCAAGGTAAAAAACAACTTCCACTCTTGTATCCCTTCCCACAAAGAATGAAACAGTGCTGGCTGTGCCTCGTTTGATCCTGAAGGCAAAACATTCTACACCTAGAAATACTGCTCCAGCCCGTACACTGGGTGGCACAGAGGATATTAACTCCGAGTGGGGTTAAACTTCAGGAGGTCCAAACTTCAGTTTACATACACCCACCCCTGGAGCCAAATGATCTGATGGACCCATGAGGCTGGAGGTGTCAGCAGTGGGATAAGACTGCAAGTTAATCACTAAAGGGATGTTGCCTTTAAGCTTAAATTATACATAATAGCTCATCTCTGGGGACCCTGCCTGCCAGGTAATAAGCATTAGGCTAAAATACCTTTGTTCAGCTCACAGGAAACATCCTGACCAGGCCTACTTGTGAACTACTGCAGGAAGGAAGAAATTAGCACATTCCCTCTGGAAGCCGAAAAGAACCAGGAAATGTTTGACTTTATTCCCTCCTCTTTGAATATCAAAAAGCTTGAATTCTAACTCAGACAGATGGTTCTTTGGGACATGAGTCCACCATCATCTCTATCTACTGCCTTTCCAAATAGTCACTCTTCCTTACCGCACAACTCCTCTCTTGATATTTTGACCTGTCGCTAAGAGACAGTACAGGCTTGGACTCGCTAACAGTCACAGTGAAAGTGCTACCCAGAAATGAAGGTCTTCCAGGAGGAGACAGGAAGGCACTACATCCTCCCGGGTTTTCCTTTGGTTCCCGAGCAGCATCAGCGGCGAGTCTCCAGTGATATGGAATTTCCAGTCCACGTGCTGTCCTTTGTTGTACAAGGCCCATAGGATCCTCGCCAGCAGGCAACATGCAGGGAGTCCTGAGCTTTCGGGCTGTGTGAGGGGACAGAGTCCTGATGAAAGCCGGTTTTTACTCTAAGAAGGGTCTCTCAGGACTTCCCTGGTGGTCCGGTGGAGAAGAATCCACCTGCCAGTGCACGGGACACAGGTTCAATCCCCGGTCGGGGGACTAAGCCCGCAAGCCACAACAAAGGCCGCCCGCGCGCTCTCGAGCCCGTGCTCCCGGACAAGAGATGCCAGCACAGCGAGAAGCCCCAGCTCCGCACCTGGAGCGCAGCCCCTGCTCGCCACAACCGAGGAAACCTGCCTGCAGAAACAAAGACCCAGAGTGGCCAAAAAACTGTTTTAATTTAAAAAAAGAAATTGCCTCTCATCCCATTCAAATGAGACACTTAGAGTAGAAATCATAGAGACACACGGCAGGGGTTGCCAGGAGCAGGGGCGCAGGGGTGGGTGGGAAATAGTGTTTGATGAGGACAGAGATTCAGCTGAGAAAGATGAAGCGTTCTGGAGACCACAGAGGTGATGCTTGCACAAAGCACATGTATTTAATATTTGCCACTGAACTATATGCTGAAAATAAATCTGATGGTAAATTTTATGTTATGCATATT